CACTCCACCATGCCTCCAGAGGCAGGGAAAGACAGACACGCTCGCCTTCTACACCACTCTCCTCGAAGACTGAGGTCCAGGTTGGAGTCTGTTTCTACTTGGCGACCAGCTCTCTCCCTCTTAACATTCATTCACATATAACCAGCAGTCCTCTGCGTTCAGCCCAAACAGGCCTCGCTCATTCGGCGAAGCTAATTTATTAAAGAAGTCATCCAAATAATATAACAAACACACTTTAGAGATGTTTTTGACCAGAAACACACACGATTCCCTTCTTTAAATTTTTTTTTTTTTTCTTTCTCTTTTGGTAGTATCGAATGGCTTCCCACAGCTATGGCTTGCATGTCCCGACATTTGACATTAATATATTTGTGGAAGAACCAAATCACCCCTCCCTGGAGCAAAGCGTCCTGCTGAATGTAGTAAGTACGTTTAGCTAAGATTTCATTTGCGTTTTTCCCTTGAGTGACCCCGCATTTCACAGCCGTTCCTTTAACTTAAAAGTATCAAAAAGTGCTTGGCCGTTTTGAGTCAAGAGTTTGAGATTAGGATGGCTACATGAATGGCACAGTAACCTAAAAACAGACCCAGTTGTCCTGAGGCTCAAAGAAAGTCGAGGGGCTTATCCCCTACCTCAGTCCTACCCTTTTAGCCTTTTTTGCAACCTTGGAATTTGCCAAACAGCTTTCATTTATTTTTCAATTAAAATGCAAATCATTCACTTTCAAAAGCAGCCCCCCCCCACCACCACCACAGATACACTGTGCAGAGATGCACGAGGGCGTCGCGACCACGTGTCACACGTTCCACCCCTGGGGGTTGCTTGGAAATGTCTGACTTCATTAGGCCGGGGGCGGGAAGGCCTGAGGGTTCTGCGGATTCTCGAGAGAGAGTAAATCCTGACTCTCAAGGGCATTTGAAAAGGAAGCAGTGTGTGTAATAGGGCCGCGACCAGAAACAGGCCTCTGGCATCAGCACCCGGGGCGGTGGGTCTGGTACTCGAGTCCCGGAGGTGGTTCTATCTCTGCAGCCGAAGCCCAGGGCAAGGTGATCTCTCCGCACAAGTGGCAGGGGCAGCGCACTCCCTCCGAGGAGGCCCCTAGCTGTCCTAGCTCCCCCGCTGGAAACCAACCAAGCAGATTGAGGCCAGCCAGCACCCTCCTTTCTTCCAGCGCCGTGGGTGTATCGGAATACGTGCTGTCCCCCGCGAGATTCAGGCACCCCTGGGATCGAGGTACACAGACCCCAGAATGTTTACCTTGTAATTAAGAATAAGGCTGATATCCTGCAGTGTGAATGATAAGTAAGAGCGAATATGGACACGTCTTAAAGCCCAGCTTTACAACTATTTACCGATGGCAGTTAACCCGGAGTGGGGCTGAGTTGAATTTCAATCTCTCTCTCCCTCTCTCTCCCCCCCCCCCAACCCCTCTCGCTCTCTCTCTCCCTGTCTCTCTAGTTTTTCTCTCTCACACCTTCTCCCCCTCCCCCCCCATATTCAGGTACTAAGTTGACAACAGGGAAATGTTCAGTTCTTTTTCCGGTCACAATACTTACTTGAGAGAAAGAGGTCGCTTGTTGACGACTGAATCTTTGGGAATCATTGAGATCCGTCCCTCTTCATTCCTACCTAATCCTCGAGAACCGGCAGCCCAGGCAAAGACTTCAGGCGCGGGGTTGTAAGCTACCGCCCGGATAGTCCCTGGAGACCAAACAAAGTTTCGTTTGCAACGAATCCAGAAACAAAGGGGACTGATTTCCCAGGCCAGGGTCAGGGTGCACGTGCCGTCCTTCGTCCCCCAAGTCTGGGGGCCGCGGAGGCTGGAGTTTACACACAAAGTCAAGCAGGCCATCCCCACAGGGAAATGCAGACTGTCCCCAAGTCAGCTTTTCTCTGCGGCTAGAGTCCGGACCCGACTCGTTAGCATAATTCACGTTGAGGAAGGACTTCGCCTTCCTCCTCCCTCCAGGGTCAGATTTTAAGTCTGGAGTGAAGCGTTTAGCCCAGTTTCAAAGTTAGTGAAGAACGGTGGAGACGGAAAGAAACAACAAATAACCTTATTTTTATCTCAGAAATGCAGAAAAGAGGCAAAAGGTCATCATCATCAAAGGCAACAAAAATCCATACTCAAGCTGACGCCCTTAAAAGATCAAGTGTCTTCCATATGTCTTGGAAACAAAGGTTATTGAGGCGGAGTAAGCTCTCTGGGCCTCCCGCGCTAGGACTAGGGCACTCAAAGTCGACCTCCATCCATGGGTGCTGTGGCCAAAGTTTTATTCTTGACCATTTATTGCATTTATGTCTGTTCCCTGCGCATTAAGTTTGAACTTAATGATCCCATTCAAATTGTTGTAGTGACTGTCTCCCAATAGTATGCTACTTTAACATCCTGAAATCTCCAAACTGTGCAAGGGACTTACTTCCAGCCAACAGAGATCAATCTGGCCGGACTCTTAACCCGAGGAGGTGGAAGAAGTAGAGGAGGAGTAGGGAAGCCACTGTCCAATTTTTAAATCCTAGACATCCCATCCCAAAGCTCAGAAGACGCGACCGCACGGTCTCTGCAACAGCCCGGGCTTTGAGAGGACACAGTTTCAGAGACGGTTTTCAAAAGCTTACATTCCCTGGGAGTACCCAGGCGCTTCTGTACCTAAAGTCTCCACCTGAATTTTAGCTCTTCTACACCACACACCCCCACCCGTAGGCCAAATATAAAAAATAATAACCAACGGAAAGAAAGGTTAAAAAAAAAAAAAAAAAGGAAAGAAAGAAAGAAAGCTCCCTGCTCCCAAATCTAAATATCACAGGAGAGATAAATATTCCCCAAAAGCCGATTCCGTTCCCAGAGAATTGTGTAAACCATTAATGATAGCGATACCGCGGGGTCTGGGGGGACCTTAGAAATGAAAAGTGAAGGAGAAAGAACTGAGAAAGAAAGCGGGGAGTAGGGGGCAAAGATTAGAAGAGGACGCTCCTACAAGGGGATTAGGACATGCATAGACTTAAGAAGAGCCCTGGTGGTGCAGTGGTTAAGGCTTTGGGTTGCTAGCAGGGCTGCTCCAATCCACCAGCCCCTCCACGGTAGAATGATGTGCAATGTGTTTCCGTAAAGATCACAGGCTTGGGAATCCTATAGGGCAATTCTACTCTGTAGAATTCTGTTCTGTAGGGCTTCTGTGTGTCGGAATGGACTGGAGAGCAAAGGATTTGGTTTTCGCTGTTGTTGTTTGGATAGGCTTAAGGAGCAGTAAATTAACTTACACAATTCTGGGGAGAGCCCAGATGGTCTTCAATTAATCCCTTCAAAAGAAAGAACCAAGCCCGGGCTGCGCCGGTTGCCTGCTCCATTTGCTCTATTTTACCAAGGACCAAACTCGGCTGGAGGTGAGACTCTGCGAGCTGGTGGGGTGGTGGGGGGAGGATAAAAGTGAAGCGAGAGGGAGGGGGGGGGGGGGAGGCAGGGGAAGAATATGAACTACTTTTCCATAAAAGGACGGGATTTTCATTATTCTCTTTAAAAAGTAATATCCTCTTCGTCTTTGCTCCCCCCACCTCCTTCCCATTTTATTTAACACAGTTAATTGAGGCGTCCTCTCGCTTCATTGGGGAACTGCACCACTCACCAGTCCCCGCCCCTCCTGGCCGCGCCCCCCGAAGAATGGAGGTGGGAGGGGGCGGAGACAAGGCGGGCGCGGCCCCACAGTCCGCTCGTCTCAGCCAATCAGAGGGTGCGGCGCTCCCGAGTGGGCGTGTTCCAGAGGCTACGCGAGGCCCAAGGCTGAGCGCTACTGGAGGCCGTGGTTACGCCCCGTCCTGCGCAGGTCTCCTCGGCCCCGCCCCTCCCGGCGTCCTCAGAGTGACGTCCCTCAAAGTTCTCAGTTTGGCCCCCTCTTCCCCCTCCCTTTCGTCCCCCAGCTATAGAGGGGTAGGGAGTGATGCAAATGTTTTATTACCTTTGAGAGCTTCATCCGAACTGTCAGGCCCAGAGGGAGAGAGGAGAGGAGAGAGGGAGTGGAAGAGCCGCGGAGAAGGTCAGCTTGGCCGGAGGACAGGACTTGGAAGGGAAGCCGCGAAGAAAATGCAAGAGCGGAGAGGCAAAGGCGGAGAGTGAGAGGCAGAGAGGGCGCTGGGGGGTGGGGTGGGGGTCGCTAGGCCCGTGGGCAGAAGTGGACCAACGAGTGGAGCCGAATCCAAGCTGTTAGACTTTTCACTTAGTCGTTGTAGTTCTGTTTGTTGTCTCCTTTTTCTTTCCAATATTGCAACTCCAGTGCCCCGCGGCCAGGAGCGGAAGGCAGGGCTGCGTGCAGAACCTGGGAGTAGCGGGGATTGGTGGCACTGCCCTTTCCTGGTGCCGTAGCCCCGGGCAGCGGCGGCAGACGAGCCTGCCCCAAGGCAAGAGCGGCCCGCGGACTGGATGGTCCCTCTCCGAGCGCGCGGCGAGCGCCAAGTGCCGGGCAGCTTCGCTGCCACAGGAACAGAGCCCTGCGAGTAGATCAGAGGACGGGGACAGGAGGACCCCGGCGTCCTTTGAACCGCGCGAAGAACGCGAGCTAGCCCCCCACCCCCAACATCCAAGTGGAGGTTCGGTGATTTCTAACTTTGTTACAAACTCTCTGGGGCCGGGCTGGGTTTTGGTTTGCTTATTTCCGGGGACGAGATGTTGAGAAGCAGCGCACTTTGAGCGTCGAGGAAAAGTGAAGAAGGGAGAGAAGAGATAGGAATTCAAGCCTGGACTCTCGGAGCAAAACCCTCCCGGACGCCCGCTCCTCTGGAAGAGCCACCGCCTCCTGCGGGTTGTTGGGACATTTCTTCTGCGTGGCTCCCAGAGCAACTCCCAGCGGCGGAAGCGGCGTTGTCTGACCAGTTGGCAGGTCGCTTTCCCCGTGAGCCAAGCGAACTCCTTGCTCTCTCGCTCGGCGCTACTTGTTCCCCGAAGCTCCACCGAAGGCAGCGCCCGGCGCCCTTGCGGAGCGGCTGCGGTCCTCGGCCGGGCCGTGGGATGTTAGCGGTGGGGGCGATGGAGGGCACCCGGCAGAGCGCGTTCCTGCTCAGCAGCCCACCCCTGGCCGCTCTGCACAGCATGGCCGAGATGAAGACCCCGCTCTACCCCCCCGCCTACTCCCAGCTGCCCGCCGGGCCCCTCTCCTCGTCCTCGTCCTCTTCCTCCTCCTCCTCCTCGCCCTCCCCGCCCTTGGGCGCCCACAACCCTGGCGGCCTGAAGACCCCGGCCGCGGGGGGTCTCGCGTCCCTGGGCAGCCCCCCGCAGCAGCTCTCGGCCGCCACCCCGCACGGTATCAACGACATCCTGAGCCGGCCCTCCATGCCTGTGGCTTCAGGGGCCGCTCTGCCCTCGGCCTCGCCCTCCGGCTCCTCCTCCTCCTCTTCCTCGTCCGCCTCTGCCTCCTCTGCTTCGGCCGCTGCTGCCGCTGCAGCCGCGGCCGCGGCCGCCGCCTCATCCCCAGCGGGGCTGCTGGCCGGCCTGCCCCGCTTCAGCAGCCTGAGCCCGCCTCCGCCTCCTCCGGGGCTCTACTTCAGCCCCAGCGCCGCGGCGGTGGCAGCCGTGGGCCGCTATCCCAAGCCGCTGGCCGAGCTCCCCGGCCGGACGCCTATCTTCTGGCCGGGAGTGATGCAGAGCCCGCCCTGGAGGGACGCGCGCCTGGCCTGCACCCCTCGTGAGTACGGCCACCCGCGCCCGCGTGTCTGCCGGTTCTGCCTGCGCGGTCTGCTCTCGGGTCACGGCCCCTGGGTGTGCATACCGGCCAGTCTGCCTTCTCGCCTCTTCGGTAGTTTGACAACGCCGGGATAGCACAATTTAGGCCGGGCCAGTGCGCCCAGTGAGCCGTCCTTTTTTCCTGAACTCGCGTGTTTGCTTCCAAGCGCCCAAGTCTCGGCCACGCTCGGAGGAGCCTGTATGCTTATGTCCGGGTGGGACACATCGCGGTGCGGGCGGGCGTTGAGTCGGAAGCTCTGGCTGCTCGCGGAACAGCCCGGCCAGGGCCGCAGATGCCTCCCGGGTCAGGGAGATAGGGAGTGGCGGAGAAACCACTGCGCCCCAGCCTATTTCCCGGACTTTTCCTCGACTTCTGCCCGAGGGCCGGGGTCCCACTCCGCCTTCGCCGGCTAGACTCACCGCCTCTCTGCAAACCTGTGGGGTCTGGCAGCAGCGAGCCCTCCGTGGCCCGGAGCGAGTGCGTGTGTTTGCCAGCACTCCCGGATCCCTAATGTTCCCCCCGCCCCACCTCTCCACCTTTGCTCCCTAGGTACACTTGCGGCCCCCAGAGAGCCCACTTAAGGCAGGCCGGCTCCGGTGGCAGAGGGTGAGCGCCGAGGCCCGCGCTTTCCCATTGGCTTCGGCCCAGGGTATCTGCTGTGCCCGGGTATTTGGAGGGATATTGTGGCCCCCAATTTCCAGTTTAGGAAGGAGCCAGGGAAGGAGGGAGAAGAAGGAACAAGAACCAGGGAAAATGCTACCTCCCGCAGAGATCTTGCTCGAGGCAAACTGAGTTGCCCAAGCTCACTCTCCAGTTGTGGGGTTGTTGGTCCCGGAGTGAGGAAGGTTCTCAGCTTTCCAGGTGGCTTTCAGGGCCCAGCCTAGGGATCTTTCTTTGCTTTTGACCGAGTCGCCGAAGTTTCTCCAAGTCTCGGGACTCCTTCCCTACGGCTGAGCCGCAGCAACTGCAGAAGTTGCAGAAGCCGGGTAGAGGACTTCCCTTGCGAAGTCCTGGGACAGAAGGCGCCCCGAACGGGTGGAGGTGTCCGGAAGGCACTATTGTATCCGTTACGGTGGCCGTGTGGGGACTGCCAATAGTGGCAGTGCCCCCTTTCCCTCGGTCGGGAGCGCAGCGGAGTTAGACTTGGGGGCGACTGAGGTCTGTTTGCAAAAACAAGGCGCCCTTTGTTTTCTTAGCACTTTCCGGACAGAAGTTAGGGCAGCGCTCAAGGGGAAAAACAACAACAACAACAAAAATTAGTCATCCTAATGCAAACGCTTTGGTGCCCAGCAGAGCCCAGTGGACCAGGGCGTGAGAGCGACTTTTTCCCAGCACCCCTCCTGAATTTAACAGGGCCTGGCGACTTGACTTAAGCAAACTTTAGTGATGAGCTCCCTCACTGTTTGACGTCGGTGCTGGGCAGAAGGTTATTTACTACTGCTCCGAACACACCGGCTATTTTAAAACAGGTGGGCATAAAAAAGACACTAGGAGTCGCACCGTGGGGCTGGACGGGCCACGACCCTTGTGGCGCCCGTCATTGACTTACGTTTTCCTTCCCCCACAAGAATCCTTTTTTTCAAGTTCATTTCTTTCCAGTGGAACCGCTTTTAAACGACCGCTTCTCCTCTTCCCTTGTTTGTCGTTTTTCGCAGATCAAGGATCCATTTTGCTGGACAAAGACGGAAAGAGAAAACACACCAGACCCACGTTCTCTGGCCAGCAGATCTTCGCCCTGGAGAAAACTTTCGAACAAACAAAATACTTGGCGGGGCCGGAAAGGGCTCGCCTGGCCTATTCCTTGGGGATGACGGAGAGTCAGGTCAAGGTGAGTGCACCTCTCAAAACATCGAGGTATCTCGAGCTCACTCACCATACACGCACATGCACACGCACACGCACACCTGCCGTGAAGGGGGGCTGCTGGTCTGAGGATCCTGGGAAGAAGGTAAGAGCAACAAAGGGAGGGGGGCTTACAAAGGCGCTAGAGGCTTGGGCTCATGCAAACTGTTTGTGAACAAAAGCAATCAAGCCCCCCCCCCCGCCCTTGAAATTAGGTTAATCTTGATAGCAGCTTGTGCTAGGGGAACTCGCCATTATTAAAGAATAAAGGCATTTCTGAAATATCAGCCTCGAACATATATCACACCAGTTAAATAGCTTCTGTTTATTCTGTTTTGAAAGATACTCAAGCTTTTGTTTGTCGATTCAGGTTCCTCTAGTTACATATAATCTTCTAATACGGCAAACAACAACAACAACAACAATGTACAGCAGCATTCTAGTGCTACTATGTTAACTTTTTAAATTGCAAGTTTTAAGGAAAATAAATCCACACAATCTAGTCATTTACAACTGATGAACCTGCTTTTAGTTTAGCTCGAGGCAATTTTCTTGGAATAGTAACTTTCTAAATGAATTAATAATGTTACTGTATTATAGGACTGATGTCTGTTAATAAGTTTATGAACAAATTTCAGATATTTTGCTGTTTATGACAATTGACAATTAAAATATCTTTGCTTATAATTGAGTTTTACACTTTATTTCCAGGGAATCAAATTTTAGAAAACTTTTCCTGGAATATAGGAGTATTGAGCCAGCTGGCAGAATTAAATTCGATGATTTCCTATATTTTCAGCCCTCTCTTTTGTTCCTCCTTTTCAGTTTGTTATATTTGTTTCTTTAGGAGTGTGTGCATGTCCATTTTCATTACTTATATTGCTGCTCTTTAAATTAAGTAGCAATAGCATTAGCCGTGTCTACTGATAGAGTGTTATTTCCCCCTGGACAAGCATCATAAAATACATTCCAGGAGTGATATTGTATGTGGCCATTAGACTACTATCACAGTTAAAATTATTTTTGCAGTAGGTTGGTATAGACCCTACCATAGTAGTCTGGAGGTCTTCATTTGTCACTGTAAATATGTCTGCATGTCTAAAAGTAAATTATTATAGTTGTATAAAGAAAATCAAATTCACTTTAACAATTCTGATTCTCTAGATAAAATACACAACAGATGGGAAACATAAAGAGAATAGATCATATTTTTGAGAAATTGCTTATTACTGATGCTTTAAATTAAAATACGTGTGTGTGTCAAAGATGGTGTCAAACATGACTAGACATTAAAAAATGTATATAAAATGAATTATCTTGGGAACGAACAATATTAATATAATATTTTAAAAGACTAGGCATATAATCTCGGAAGGAAGACTAGGCATCTACTTCCATAGAGATACCACCTCAGAAACCCAAGGAGGTCTCACTATAAGTTGGATTCGACTCAATGGCAGTGAGTTTTGCCGTATAATAGTGGAAAATACATAACTGATATAATTTAACATTTAAAAAATAACTACTTGATGAAAATTCTAGCCTTCACTTCAGTTTTATGAAAAACATTAAACCAGAGAGAGAATCAAACTACAGTGATGATTTTGACTAAACTATTAAGTGTTTATATATGTTTATGTTGGTTATTATTAGTGATCTGAGGTTTGCATGTTAGCAGATCTTTTTAAGTGTATTGCACATTATATATGTGCGTTAATGGGGGAGGGAGGTTTATTTGTCATGTTTGTGTATATTCAGACCTGAGATAAGTGAAACAGATGTCTAAAAGTGCAAAGTAGAACAGAGATAATCTGAATAAATGTTGTGCTTTTCCCCACAAATCACACTAAAAAGCAAGTACACTTCAGATGGCTGGAAATTCCTTAATCCAAGAAAGTAAATAAGAAAGCCATAGCCATCTGGGACAAGTTTAGGAAGTGGGAAAAAGTTTTCTATTTCACACAGGCAGGTAGGAAAACTGACTTCTTTTTAAAGAAAACTCATTTTAAGTTTCCTTCCCAGTTTTGTTTTAATTCTTCTAAGAAACCGCTCACTGACAATCTCAATACCCTTGTGTTATTATCGCTATGGCAACGGCAGTCAGTTTGTTGGTGCTTGTTACTCGGAGGAGGAACCCGGGGCGAAGGAGACTGACTTTGACGGCCCAGACAAGGGAGGTGTCTGAGGGAGGGTGGCAGGCCATCAGGGGCCCTCAGAAGGGACATCGGGATGTGGGAGTGGTGGCAAGGCCTGGATCTGCTAGCATTACATTCCTTCCGGCCCCTGCTTCCCCTCTGCCTTCCTTTTTCTCGATCCCCAGGTGTGGTTCCAGAACCGCCGCACCAAGTGGAGGAAGAAGCACGCGGCCGAGATGGCCACCGCCAAGAAGAAGCAGGACTCGGAGACCGAGCGGCTCAAGGGAGCCTCGGAGAACGAAGAGGAAGACGACGACTACAACAAGCCCCTGGACCCCAACTCGGACGACGAGAAAATCACGCAGCTGCTGAAGAAGCACAAGTCGAGCAGCGGCGGTGGTGGCGGCCTCCTGCTGCACGCGTCCGAGAACGAGAGCTCTTCCTGAGCACCCGGGGCCGCCGCCCGCCGGGCCTTCCCTGCCTCCGCTCGGCCGCGGGGACCGCGGGGCAACGCGAACGCCCGGCCCCAGCTCCCGGCCCGCACTCCCGCCCCTCCGGGCCAGGAGTACCAGGGCCCACCTGCGGGGGCCCTTTGCTATTTTCTGAGATGTACATATCTATTTTTTTAACATAGAGTCGTGAGGGGAGAAAAAGAGACTGGGGAGGGGGGGTTGGTAAAATCGGGGGGAGATTCCAACCACGAAATGCACTGCATAATTTACGCAAAGGAACCCCGCAGCCTGGAGGCCCTCCCAGCCTAGAGCTGGCCCCCTAGAAGGTCCCTGCGCGCGGGGAACGGGGTTCCAGCCCGCCCTCCCTCCTCGGCCAGGCGGCCGGGCGGGGCGTGGAGAGGTGATTTTTGAAGGGTCGACACCCACATCGCCGGGTACCTAGGAGCCACGCGGGCGGCCGCCACAGATGGGAAGAGGGAAGTTTCTCCCCCACAAACTGCTGTGCCGACTAAAGTTACCTGTTGAAGGCTCTTTGTAAATAAATCGTGAGTCACACTGACTAGAAGTTACTTTATTGTGAATATTTAAAATGTAAAATGACTTTTGGAATTTGGTATAAAAGGATGGACCTCCCTCCTCTTTCTATCCCTCCCCTTTGAAGAGCTATTCAGACTACACTTTCTTTCCCCTTTTATTTTGAACTTAATTTGAGACCCCATAGAAAAGAATGTTGTCACCATCACCACCACCACTCCACCACCCCCGCCCCGCTCCTCGCCCCTGTTTGGATTTGTTGAATCTTATATTTCCCTCCATCCCTTCTTGCCTGCCCACTCCCTGGATCTGCGCCGGGCTCCCGCCCCCAGGACTTGGAAGTAGAAGACTTGGGCACCAGGGAGGGCCTCAGACTTGCCTCTCAGTTCCCCTCTGAAATTGCACAGTTGTTTGTTGCTATTTATTAGTGATTGAAAGAAAGTGTTGGGGGAGGGAGGGGCTACAATAGCTTGTATTTAATTTAACTCCCTTCTGATAAAAATGCGTGTTAAAGTAGATGGTGGGAATTGTTACAACCGTTCTGGGTCAGAAACATAAAAACCCGTTTAGTTGCTGTATTGAATTTGAAGTGTTTTGTATCATAAGAATACTATAGAATATGTAAATTGTTTTCTTTTTTTAAGCTAATAACGGTGATATATTAGCATCCTTAACCTTTATTAATTTATATAAGGAATTCGGTTTGTAAAGAAAAAATCCCCTTTGCAAGACGTTAAATGTAATGCACTTTCTGTTTCAAAGGATAAATCAAATTAAAGAACAGTTTGAAGACGTCTGTTGCCTTGAATTAAAGGGTACAGATCATTTGATCTCATCAGAGATCTCAAATAATAAAAGTTAAGACCACAACATTTTTTTAAATTGGTTTCTTGAGTGAAATAGTTGCTACTTGATTTTTCTTTTTTTTAAAGAGTGGGGTTCACATTTCCCATTCTCGTGGATTGGGACATAAATGAAATGCAGTCCCACTCATAGGACTTCCTGGAAAACTTGACTGCTTCTGATGTCTGTGTTGTCTGAGTTTTTCCCGATGGCTTTTTCCCTTCTGAGGAAGTCCCTGGAGGGCTTTGCGAAGACCTTATTTCCCTATAACCAAGATAGCTCCTCAGTCAACTCCTAGCTCTGTTAGTGTAGAGGAGGCAGCAGGGCCCCCTAGTGCAGCATCACTGCTGTTTGATGCTAACACCCCTCCCCTCCCCCGCAGCTTGAGAGACTGCAGAAGTCAGCGGAAGACCCGAGCCCAGATTTTGCTAAACATCGGATTAAAGAAGGTTACATTTAAATAAATTTCTAACCGATATGAAAGTCTTTGGGATTAAGGAAGTGATGTCATAGCTTCTTTAACTGAATTGGGGGGCGGGAATTCCAGGGAGAGGGCTGTATCTCTGTCCTGGGATCCTTTTGTTTTCAGACATTCAGTTATAGGCTCAGTGAAATATAGTTATCCTCTTAGTGTTTCAGGTTAATCAGCTTGTATTGAAAGAGAAAAATCAATAGAATTCAGTAGATCCTTGAGGCTAGTGTTAGCTAAAGAAAACGTGGGTCTGTTTTGTTCCCTTGAAAATAATAAAACAGTATGAAAAACTGGGAATGAAATTGCCTGAAGAAAATTATTGTAGAATATATCCCCATAGCATGGTTTAATGAAAAGGAAAGATAAAAATATGCCGGTTTTTCATTGTTTCTTTTGTTTTCCATGTTTCCAAGAAGTTTCAAACTGTTTTTTGAATGTCTGCATTTTTAGCAAGCCTAAGGTATGTGTGTTATATATATATATAAACAACACAACAACAAAACCTGTTGCTGTCAATTCTGACTCACAGTGACCCTTTAGGATAGAGTAGAACTTCTCCATAGGGTTTCCAAGGTAGTAATCTTTACCGAAGTAGACTGTTACATCTTTCTGTCTTGGAGCAGCTGGTGGGTTTGAACTGCTGACCTTTCGGTTAGCAGCCAGATGCTTTAACCACTGCACCACCAGGGCTCCTTGTGTCTATAGGCAGCTATTTTTAAGGCAACTTTGCTGTACTGAGGTGATGTAATTTCCATACTAACTGTAAATAATAAGAACTAGCTAACTAACACCTACTTACCATCCTACTATCATTTCTTCTTTCTTCTTTTCTTCTCTCCTTCCCTTTCCCACCTCCATCTCCTCCTTCTTCTTGTTCTTCTTCCTCTCTTTCAATTTATAAAAGAACTAAGGAGGCAAGCCTATTAGGCTGCGACTGCACTTTATTTGTTAATTTACAACAAATTAAAGCCTTTTTACTTTTTTTAACTTCACCCAGCCCTCTTCTGCATTGAAAAGTCAAGCAACTTTTCATTTATTCCTTATTTCTTAAAAAATTACTGTATAATTAGAATTGTTATTCTTGGAATATAGTAAAAAAAATAATCATAATAATTATTAGCAGTAGTTGTAGTAGTAATTGAGAATTACTAGCAAAAAAAAAAAAAAAAAAAAAAAACCCACCACCTTGGAACTAAGATTGAAGGTTTTTCTCAAGAGGTAATTAGGTTTATAGCATTTATTTGAAGTTAGAAGTGTGGAAAAATTTCTCCCAGGATTCCTTTAGGTAGCATTCCCTCTGAGCTGCTCACCTTTACATTGAGGGAATCTGAGAAGTATGGGACCCAATGGGCTAGACTCCACCCTACAGGCAAAAATGCACAGGGGCAGACCTGTCAGTTTGCTGGCCAGTGGGAGCGCTGCTGTGCTTTTGAGTTGTGTGGTAACAGCCAGGGTGGGCTCTGGGGCCATGCTGCACTGAATGCCAGTGCATTTTTCCACTTGACTGAGGCAGTGGCAGAAGTTTCCAGTTTCTCTACTTCTACTTAGGACTCCAGCTGGCCACCAGTTGCAACTGGCCCCATAAAACCAGTAATGAGGGAGAAGTAAATGGGGGCACCTTACCTAATTCCCTTATGTTGGTTGGTTTGATTTAGTCCCATGTTTGTACAAGAAATATTTCTCATAAGAGTTACACAGTGGGAAAGCTGACGAAAATCTTTACAGCTCAAGCAAAGGAGAGCAAGAATCAGTTTTCATTTTGGTGTTAACAACCAAATGTTTTTATGGCATTAACAAACGTAAGTATCTGATTGAGTCATTGGGGCTTAAGAGTTTGTGATTGGAAAACAAAAAAGTCACAGCAAGTGGCTCAGTGGACCACTGTTTTTAAAAAGTGCTTACAGGTAATAGAACATCAGTAGTGGAACACAAAAAAGAGAAAAACAAATATTTTGTGTGTATTGTGTAATGAACCCTGGTGGTGTAATGGTTAAGTGCTTGCTTGCTAAATGAAAGGTTAATGGTTCAAATCTACCCAGGTGCTCTTCCGGAGAGAGACCTGGCTATCTGTTCCCATAAAGATTACAACCTAGAAAATTCTACTTTGTCACATGGGGTCACTATGAGTTGAAATTGACCCAATGGCACCTACCTCTGTGTGTGTGCATGCACACATATTTCTTTTCCTAAAAAGGGAAAAATCAGTGAGACTACCAATTGGAAGGGAAAGAGTATATATATATATATATATCAGATGTCTCAGCAGGATTCACCTTTCCAGGCTCCTACTTAGCTCTTTTCAAACTCATAAGTCTAAGCTCAGTTCTCCTAGTTGGTGATGCACCTTTTCTTTGGCACTCACATTCAGGGAATCCTGTAACTTACAGCTCTGTGCAGAAGCTGTCAGAGTGCTGAGCCATGCTTGTGAGCACTGCAATCCTTTTCCCTTTCTCTTCTTGGGAATCCATGGGAAGAGAGGAAACCAGAAAATATCCATTTGCCTTTGGAAAAGGAAGCTTTCCCTCATCGCTCAGCATGCAGGCAATTTGGACTGGAGGCTAGTTCTTCTGGGAAATACCTTCAAGGCAGCACAGTCCCAGTGTGTGTTTGAAACCTACTGGAGCCTAATATCATGTAGCTGAGTATATTATTCAACCAGCATCAACTGGGGGAGAGCCACACTGTCCTGTCCTGTAAGCTGTCGTCAGCGAACAGACACACACACACACACACACACACACACACACACATTACAGAGGTGAAATTCCACTTGGGAACTCCTAGCACTGAATAGCTTAAAGGGACAGTGTCTCCTTTGTTAATCATTTACAATAGGATTGTGTAATGGGGGAAGTATAGGGTCCATTTCATCTGTTACCTCTATTTTAGGCTAATTGGAGCAGGTTTGTCTGCACTAAGTTGCCTCCCTCTTACACACTAAAGAATTTGGCTGCTAACCAAAAGTTGGTGATTCAAACCTACCAGCTACTCCATGGGAAAGATGAAGTGATCTGCTTCCATAAAGATTTTCAGCTTTGGGAACCCTATGGTGGCAGTTCTACTCTGTCTTGTAGTGTGGCTGAGTTGGAATTGAGTTGATGGTGACGGGTTTCATTTAATTTGATTACAGTACACACAGATGCACAGAAA